TTTGTACATGTATATAACACATCTTTTTGTTGTTATTTCATTTGCCTTCTTTTTAATTTGTATACTTCTCAAATTTTCCATATTCATGTTGCTATACTTTTAGAATAAAAAAAATGAGTTCAAGGTCATACTACGTAAGAAGAATATTTAGTCTTTTTATGATGGAACCTAAGGAAAGCCAGGTCCCCAGGGTGCCTTTCCAATTCTGTCCTTCGACACAGCCCCCACTATTCTGTGCTCTGCTAGCCCCCTGGCCACTGTGCTCACCACACTGTACCCACTCACGAGTCAGGCACAGGGTGTTGAAAGCAGGGCCCAGGCAGAGTGGCCCGGGCCATGATCCCAGTGTTCCCAGGGCCTGAGGCAGAAGGATGGCAAGCCTGAGCTCTGCCTGGGCAATTCAGCAAGACTCTGTCTTAAAATAAAAAATATCTGAGAAAAGGATAAGGCTGTGCCTCTGTGCCAGTGCCAGGGCCAGGGTCAGTCCCCGATCCTGCCAAAGGAGAAAAGGCAAGGCAGACCTTTGCGCTCTACCAACTTTCGTACCCTAAACCTTGCAGAGCTTTGTGTCTGGCACCAATCTGTAATAAGTATTAGTATTTATTTTGGGGGGTGGGTACCAGGGATTGAACTCACGACCTTATACTTGCGAGGCAGGTGCTTAAGCCACTGAGCTATCTCCTCAGCCCCTGTAATGAATGTTATTGACAGGAATAATAAACATAGAACTCACTGGCTAAAACAATATGTGATAATACTTGCTCTTGGCTAAGCTGCCATCCAAATTAAGAATTCTTCACAAAAGTTAGACATGTAACATGTGATCTTAAAAGTCTTAATAAAAATACAGCCCCTAGTAGGTGATGGTAGAATAATACACATCTGGATACTAAAATATGCAGAAATTGTAAAAGCAGAAGAACAAACCATGAAAAATGACTTGACAATGTAAAAATTAAAATGAAAAACAACAAACTAGTTTAATTTCCTGGAATAGTGTCTAGCACCTAGCAGACAACAGGTATTTGTTAAACGAAAGAATAAACTTGTCATCTTGGTCTTAACCATCCAGGAGAAAAGTATAAAAACGAAGTATAAGAAGTAAAGCCATGCTGTTATTTTTTAAAAAATTTATTTATTTATTTGTGTGTGTGTGTGTGTGTGTGTGTGTGTGTGTGTATGCGTGTGTGGCCAGCTCAGCCCACCAGGGGGCGGGGCTGGCCGGCATGTGGTGCTGGGGATTGAACTGTGGTCCCTGTGCTTTGCTAAGCTTGTTCTAAGCAGGTGCTTTCAACTACTGAACCATCTCACCAACCCCATAGTTTTGTTTTGTTTTTCTGGCGGAACCGGGGATTGAACTCAGGCCCTTGCACTTGCCAGGGAAGCACTTATTCCACTGAGCCATCTCCCCAGCTCTAAGTCATGCTGTTATGTCGAGCTGAAGGGGACTCAGGTCAACAATTTCTGACATTGCCAGTGAAGCGGAAGACCCAATACTATTATGGACTACTGGACTCTTTTAGAATATATTTTGCTGAGTTAACACACCTATAATATTCAAATAACAGAACTAAACAAAAAAGGGGATACAGATGAATGTCCATTTTGTATCTGTGTATTCAAAATGGTTAGGAGAGATATATAGTTACATTCTCTTAATGAATAGGGGGATTTGTTCTAACGGTGTTTGTAAATAGGATATCATGTCCGCATCTTGTACAGCAATTAACCACTAGGAAGAATGTATGCAATGTGTTAATTATTGAAATTGTCCTACCAATTTGGCTCGAAACTGTCTCATTGCTATTTCTCAATAAAATCATGGAAAAATAAATAATGCTTAGTCTGAAAGAATAAAATAGGGTTTTCTACATCAAAAAAAAAAAAAAAAAAAAAAGAAGAAAAAGAATAAACTTGTCCCAGGAATTGACTGACTTAACAGAATTCTTTAGAAAACACTTTTTAAAAATAGCTTTCTTGAGCTGTAATTCACATATCACACATTTTGCCCATTTAAAGCATTCAGTTTGGTGTTTTTAAGTATACTCAGTGTATGAAACCACCAGAGCCATCCTAGGCACTTCCAGAAGAACCCGAGCGAGTTCCATGAGCAGCCGCCCTCCGATCCCTCGACCCCCCAGCACCACGCACCCACCCACTCAGCTACTTTCCTGTTCTCCAGACACTCTCTATAAACTGGATTCTAAACTCCGTGGTCTTTGTGACTGGCTTCTGAGCATGATGTTTTCAAGTGTCACCTACAGTGTGTATCACTGTTCTCATTCTTTTACTGCCAGTTAATATTTCACTCTATGGATGTGTCATATTCCTTCACTTAGTCATCAGCTGATGGCCCCTAGGGTTGCTTGGACATTTTGGCTACTGTGGACAATGAATGGCTCTAGGAAAATCCATGCACAAGGTTTTTTTGGGGTGTGTGCGTGGATAGACAGCTCCATTTCTCTTGGCTACATCAGGAGAACCGCTCCGTCACTTGGTAACTGGTTCCCTTTACTGGTTGAGTCCTGCTTATCTTTTCACGTTCAAAGAAGGAATGGAGCTCTTTGGTTGAAAAATTAGGGAAGACTCATTAGAAGAGCCGGTACTCGCGCGAACTCTGAAGGATTAGAAGGATTTGACCAGTGAAGGCAAGCAACTGGTTAGACATTTTAGCTTTAATAACATTTTGACTTTACTGTTAAAGTACATTTTAAAGAGCAGTTCATTGATACCAAATCTTCACCAAGAAAGTGTTGTTTTTGGCTTTTAAGAAGTTACTTACTATAGCAAAATTCTCGTAAAACTTGTACTGTAACCACTTGTTATGGTTTGTGTCTGGGTATCCCCCCAAAGCCTCCGGCAGCCATGGGGCGGCTTCTGGAGTTTGTGATTGATTACCACGGGTGGGTGTGGATGCTGCGCCTGGCCTGGGGCAGGCAATCTGCATTACAATGCAAGAAGGAGGGATGAGAGGCTAGCTAGCTGTCCGAGCTGTCTCCCTTGGCTCTCTGCTCTTTGCAGCAGCCATGAAGGTCACTCTGCCTTGTGCTGCTCTGCCTTGGAACCAGCTGAGTATGGGCTGAAACCACCACTGACTGTGAGCTAAATATACCTTTCCTTCCTTCCTTTTTACTGTCAGGTGTTTGCCCCTGCCACGGAGCAGAGAAGCTGAGACACCTCTGAAGTAGCAGTGCCTTAAGGACATTATGTCTACTGGTTTTTGTGTGCAAGCATCGCGACCACCCATTTTCAGAACATTCCCACCTTGGCAGACGGAAACCGTTCCCACTGATTCCCACTGAGCAGTAATGCCAATGCCCTTCCCTACTCCCCAGGAACCACCGTGTTCTCCTCCTTGACTACTTCTGGACTGTTTTTCTTTCATTTAATAAAAGAGAGGTTCACTGCTGACTAAAGGGATGGTTTCTCTTCTTTTGGTACCAGGGATCGAACTCGGAACCTTGTGCTTGCTACACAGGCGCTTACGCTGCTGAGTTATAAACCTGGGCCAGGGACTGTTTCTATATATGAAAGCCTTCTTACACATCTGCTCATTTCAAATTTACATGGTTTACTGTAAGGAAAGGTGGAAGCTGGGTATAATGGTGCACACCTACACTCCCAGCTACTTAGGTGGCTGAGGTCGGAGGACTGCACGTTCAAGACTAGCCTGGGTAATTTAGAGAGACCCTCTCATTCATTCATTAAGAAAAATAAAGTGCTGGGGATGTAGCTCAGGGCTCTCTAGGTTCTATCCCCAGTAGAAAAGTGGGGCCTGGGTAGGGCAAAAAGATGACAGAAGGCTGGATGGGAGAAACAAGGAGGTGCAGACCACACAGTGCACACAGACCTCTTATCTGCAGGCCTCACAGCCCTGCTACAGTTCCGCCGGATCCGCCTGATTCTTTTGCATCACCAAGCTGATCCTTTGGGCCACTTCCAGGTTTTAGATGCACCAGCAGGTTTTGTAATTTTCTTGCTGTTGCATGGCACGATTTCTTATAAAATCTGTGTGGCTCAATGTTCTCGATGAGGCCATCTGTGCTGAGGGTTCTGCTCAGGGTCCGGTGCTATTACAATCCAGGAAGACCTTGGATTTGTGTCCTCCTTCCGCAGGAGCCAGGCAGCCCAAAGCCGTCTCGAGAAAGCATTTTCTAGTGCCACCTCTTTGAACAGCAGACTGGTGGTCCCTCAGGTGTTAAGTACTTATGCTATGACAGACTCTCACAAAACTGTAAAATAAAATTAATCACTGCATAGGCTTATATCTTTATTTTCCTACACATGTTCCTAAATTATGAAGCTTAAAAGCAGAAAAAAAAATTTTAGCATTCATCTACTTTACTCAAATATTCTAACATAAATAATTAGCTTGGCTAAATAAAAATTGGAGATTGGGCTGAAATATGCATCCATTTTTAAAGCTATGGTATAATACAAGTAGCAAAAACGTACTATCTTAACCATTTTTAAGCCATGGTTTGGGGTATTAAGCACACGCACACTGCAACGTGCTCAATCTCCAGAACTCATTTTATCTTGCAAAACCTAAATCTGCATCCATTAAACAGCCACCCGTTCCCCAGCCTCCAGCCCCACCGCCCTACGCTGACTACACCGGCTTACCTGAGCGGAGTCCGACAGCACCCTTGTGACTGGCCTGCGAATGTCCCCCCAGTTCACCCGTGTAGCCTACGTGTCGGCGTTCTTTGCAAGACTGAGTAACATTACTGCGCGGGCGGACTGCCACATTTTGCTCATCCACTCATCATCTGCGGGATGCTTAGTCTGCAACATTTGTGCAAACTCTGACAGGAGCAGGGGTGTACAAAGCCTGATTAACTTCCTGCCTTTTAATTCTTCTATATACCAGAAGTGGAACTGCTAGACTCTATTTTAATTTTTTTTTTTTTTTTTGGTCTTTTTGAGACAGAGTTTCACTTTTCAGTTCAGGCTGGCCTCGAACTCACAGCAATCCTCTTTTTTTTTTTTTTTTTCCATGTCAGATGGGTAATGTGCCCACGTCGTAACAAGGTTTGAGGGAGACACATCTCGTGCTTAAGGCATGAACACCCAATCATCACACTCATGAATCGAAGGATCAAATACATGCATACTTTTTCTTTCTTTCTTTTTTCTTTTTTTTCTGGTGGAACTGGGGATTGAAGTCAAGCCCTTGTGCTTGCCAGGGAAGTGCTTATTCCACTGAACCATCTCCCTGGCCCCAGACAGCAATCCTCTTGACTCAGCCTCCCAAGCATTGAGAGTACAAGTGTGTTCCACAACACCAGCACCCAACACTCCAATTTTAAGATTTTGGAGAAACTGCCACACTATTTTCTGGAGGGGTTATACCATTTTATAGTCTCCCTAACAATCCAAAAAGATTCCAATTTTTCATGTCCTTACTAATATAATCTCTACTAAAAAAACTCTGGGTTTTTTTCTGTATTCTAGGGAAGGGTCTACAGGGTGTTCAGGGTCTCACTACTAGATGGGACTCATAGTGATCTGCCTATTTACAGCCTCCCAAGAGCTGGGATTACAGGCGTGAACCACCATGCCCAGTCTCAATTGCCAGCTCAGCGTGCCCCAGAGGATCGAACCCCTGGCCCCTGCGCCTGCTTGTAGGTGCTTTAACCCACTGAGCTATTTGGCTGGCTCTTCTAATCATAAATTTAAGTAGCATAACAAACAATTCCAATTCTAGAGCCAGAGGATTTCAGGGAGGTTGAAATTTTAGGCCTAAGAATCAGCTCAGTGACCATTTGGGGCAGTGACTCTTATTCACAAGCAAGAATTATTTTTTATAACATCTTTTCTAGTTGCCATCTGGTCAATTCAGGTAAATCCTGGTGGTAGGAAATATTATTTCTCACAAGATTTTATTCTGCCATTGTATATATTTATCTAAAATTTATACTAACTATAAAACTTATGTAGCATATAGACACCTCAGGATGCAGTAAAAATCGTGCTATCAGCCCTGTCCTAAATTTTTTGGGGGTTAGAGAGATTTTACTGGAAAAAAGAAGAACAGCTTCTCGATCCATGATGGATCCCCTTTTCTACTTTTTACATTTGCTCAGTCTGACATTGGGAATTAAAACAATATATATATATTTTTAAATTTTTAACTGAACTGTAGCTCCCATAAGTATAATGTGTTGGCCTTAGTTTACCTCTTAGGCTCACACAGAAGAGTAACTCTGCAGCTTTTTCTTCAAGCATTTGACTATAGCCAAACTGTTCTTGATGGGCTCCTTCTCTAAAAAACATTTTTTTTTGGCGGAACCAGGGATTGAACTCAGGCCCTTGCGCTTGCCAGGGAAGCGCTTATTCCACTGAGCCGTCTCCCCAGTCCCATAAAAAACATTTTTGATAGTAGCCATCTTAGTGAGTGGGAGGTAGCTCCTAGCTGCAGCCTTGATTTACATTTTGTTACTGATAACTGATGTTGTGCATTGTTTCTTGTGCTTATTGTCCATGTGTATAACTTCTTTGGTGAAATTCTATTTTTAAGTCTTTGCCCATTTTTCCCAGAGGAGTTCTGTTGTTGTAGAGTGGAAAGAGCTTGTTATTCCTTTATGAGATATATGATTGGTAAATATTTTCTCCCCTCCCAAGTGTTGCCTTTTCATTCTTGGCCTAATACAATTTAATATATTTTAATCACTTATTTATTTATTTGGTACAGAGTCTCACTATGTAGCTCAGACTCATAGTGATTCTCCTGTGTCAGCCTCTCCAGTGCTGGGATTATAGGCTTGTGCCACCATGCCCGGGTTCCAGGGCTGGCACAGCATGTGGTACTGGGGATTGAACCTAGGTCCTTGCATTTGCCAGGCAGGCACTCAGACCGCTGAGCTATAGCCCCAGCCCTACAATTTAAATATAAATGCGATTCTTGGGTACATGAGCAACTTTATTATCTGCAGTACTCTTAATGTCCCTAACATATATGAAGCTTTTTCAGCCTATGACCTTTCCCCATTCAGCTGTAGGCAAAAGTTACTGCAGTTTTCTTAGGAATTGTGCAACAGTTTTCAGCTTAGATCCCTGGGAAGGAAATTAAAACTATTTATCTGTTATGTAATAAGGAAGCCACATAAAATAGTTGAAAGTCTTGGACTAGTAGGCAGATACTTTGAATTTTAGATCTCTATCATTTATTTTTAGTGTAATCTTGGGTAATTAATCTTGTTTTTCTTTATTTACAAGTAGAATGCTAACAACTGTCTTTCTTACCTCAAAATCGTGTGCAACATCAGCCTTTAAAAATGGGTGGATAAAATGTTTAGGCAGTGCAATTCACACAGCCACGGTGGGGCACCAGCCCAGGTGCCTACCATCTGATGGCTGGATGAAGAATACGTTTATGTGTACGCAGGGGATTATCACTCAGCCGTAGAGAAGAAAGAAATGACGTCATATGCAGGAAAACGCACAAAACCGGGCAGCCTCATGTTAAGTGAAATAAGCCAGATGCTGAAAGACAAACATCACATGTCTGCCTAATTATGTGTAATCCAAGATGAAAACAAGAAAGAGACCTCATGGAAGTACAAAAGAGACCATCAGGGATGAGAAAGGAAACAGAGGAGGGAAGGGCAGGGAGGGCGATGGGGGATGAAAATGATCAAAGGATACGGTATACGCGCGAACAAATACACCACACAAAACCCACTACGTGCATAACACGCACTACAAAGAGGGCAAAGGCGGGCAAGACCACCTCAATGGTTCATCCCCCACTGCCGTTCTCGGAATTCATTCTGCAGCGCCACCTGAAACTCCTGCTCGAGGCTGAAACACATTCACAACCTCCTCACCGGACGCTGCATCAGCGACCAGCTGAAGCTGGCTGTCTCCGGACACTGTGCTACTGTGCCCCGGCAGGTGGGCAGCGTTGATTCTCCACCCCGCCTTCCACAGCACGACGGCGCATTCTTAACTCCTCCTTGCCACCTGTGGGCTGGGTGGCAGTGAGGGCTACCACAAGCTTGGGGCACAGGCTGCCTGCGCATGTCACCTTCTACTCGCTAGCGCACAGTACATGCTTCAGTCTCTCTTCACCCTGATGGCTGTCATGACACTGGCTGCTCTGACACCAGACAGACAGCATAGCAGGCCTGTGCGCCCTGCCCTCCTCCTGTCTTCACACCATTTCAGCAATACGGCGGGACCCTGCCCCCTCTACACTGCTCTATCGAAGTAACCTCAAGGCTACTAAGCCCACGCAGTTCCCCTGCTCCTGCAACTCGGTCACCGTTTCTTCCATACAAGCCCGTCTTTGACATCACTGAGGCCTCTCACCATTCTGGATTTCCCTGATTCATCTTTGTGGCTTGGCTTCCTTCCTTATGAAACTTGGACTCTATAACCGATTCCTTAAATTCTTCTTTCCCCTTTTTTTTTTTTTTTTTTTTTTTAAGAGAAGAGTATATTTACTGGGAGAAAGAAAGCTCCAGTCTGAGAGGGACAGAAGCAGGTCCGGAGCGGCTTGCCCTGGGAAAATTTTTCCTCTTCTTTAGGTGCTGGAGATCAATTGCAGGGCCTTACTCATGCCAGGCAAGTGCCCTGCCCTTTGACCATCTCTCCTGCGCCCCTTCAACTTCTTACCAACATTCCTCATTCTCTTTGGTCCTCTACCTACCTACAAACATCTAAACCGAAGTCAACCCTAGCTAGCGTCCGTCTTCTCCTACGTCTAACTTCGGAACGCTGCTGGAGAGATCTGCATAAATATACATATTGCTGACACAAAAATTAATGTTATAATCTCAGGGTTTTTGAACTTGTCCTTGGCCAGCTTCTTTTCTACTCCTCACGGACGCTTTCTCATCTTTTATCACCACAGCAATGCCCTGCACCCCGACCTTTTCTCTAGTTCCTGAAAATGCAAAGGGCGCAAGATAATTCTCTTCAAATCCAGCCTGAAGCCAATCTGCCGCTCTGCATACGCTACCCCTCTGCTTCTGGCTCCCTAGCCCCAGAAAGGATGAGTCCAGAACCCTAGAAACGACCACTTCCTCCTCCTTTCTCCACGCAGCAGGGCACCGCACCACACTATCTGATGCTGTCATTCCGCTTCCTGCTCTAGCCAGACTCAAAAAGCCACTTTGCTAAGGAATTCTCTTCTGTGACACTCTTCCTGGCTGCTCCCCACTAAAGAAAAAAACAAAAGAGCGAACATTTCCTCCTTTTCTTATATTATTACTGCAGTTTTTATGCTGTATGGTAAATTTTTTTTTTTTTTTTTTTGACACAGGGTCTCACTGTGTAGTTCAGGCTGGCCTTCAACTCACTATGTAGTCAGGTTGGCTTCGAACTCATAGTGATCCTTCTGCCTCGGCCTCCCAAGTGCTGGGATTACAGGTATGACCCAACATGCCTGGCTCATAAAGGTAATAATCACAAGGACAAATTTATTGTGAAATGACTGGTAGAAATAAAAATTATAAAAGCTGAATGTGAGGAAATCATAGTGGGACAGTAAGGAATTTGTTTCATTTATTCAGCATGTAACCAACAGAATAAAGAAACAGAACGCAGAGAGAGTGAGAGAGAAGCAAGCAGGCGTGAGCTCTTTAAGCAGGAGAGTGTCGGCCAAACGTGCATGCACGCTTCAGGAGAAGGAAAACTGGTGCAAGTATTTTAATACCGAATGTATTAAGACATCACGAAGTTAACACAAATCACCTTATGTGGCAGAACGTACCTCGCCATGCTGCCGCCATTGTTTCCCGGCAGCGTGCATGCATCTTTTGGCAGAGTCCGTAATTCCCCATCTGATTTCCACGTGCATCTAATTTGGGACTTTTCTGTGTATTTGTCATGCTGTGCTCAGCAAACGAACAACAGCAGCTCCTCACCCCAAATATGCGCCGTCTTTTCCATCAATATTTATAGAATGCCCGCTGTGCGCGGCCCAGGGAACATACGATGGCGAATCCTAACTCACTGGCACAAAATGACATTGACAGTATTTTTACGAGACACAAACATCTAGCAAGGAGGCTGAATTTTGCAGACTTCTAAAAGGGATGACACATTTTGTAAAAAAAAAAAAAAAAATCCAAACCAAAAAAACTCAGGCATA